CATTGTAATGTTTACTGATAAGCTGCCAAATTTTGTAAACATTCACTTACTAATTTAAAAGTTGTAGCATGAAAACTATAACAAGCACAAAATTGGTACGAGGTTGGTCCCAGGGACCGAGCCCGGGTTAGAAGAGATAAAGTATTATTAAATGATCCTCACTTAATTTCATAGAGAACGTTAAAAATAGTACAGTTTCATTTTTCTAGTGTCTTTTTGCATTTGTGTGTATATTTATAAATATATTATAATATTTATAAATAAAATTTATGTATCTGAGGTTTCTGACGGCAGTTATAAGCTGAGCTATGGTTTTAAAAGTTGAATTGGCACATATTTACCTTTGGAGATTTTTGACAAATGGTGAAATATCTCGGCATAGAAAGGAGCCAAGTATTAAAATAATGTTAACAACTTGCTGATCATTCAGGTCATTTTTTTTAATCTTACTACTTTTGAAGTAATGACACACTTGAAGGTTGAACTGCTTTTTTGGAAGTATTTCCAAACTAATTAAAGGCCTAGGGAATTATTTGTTTTATTATAGTTTCTGTGATGTCTTTCTTGTTGTAGATACTGAATTTGTGGTATATAATTCCATTTTGAAAACTAAAATAATGTATAAAGTTCAATGAATGTGAAAAGAGAATTAAAATTCCTAACATAATGTAAACAGCTGTTTATAATTACCTATCATTAATAGTTAGATAAAAAAAAAAGAATCGTTAATTTAAGTTTTACGAATTTCTCAGCATTATCAATTATTTGCAGAGCTGAGGAATTAACTATTAATCTCCTTAATTGTTTAATTAAAATTACAATTAAATATATTATGGTCATGACAATAATGAAATTATGGAAATTAGTGTTTCTGATTACGCAGGCCTGCAATGGTTTTATTGTCTTGAAATTTGTCCATGTTCTACAGTAGTTCCTGTATGCTGAATCCAAAAATGATATTCATATTTCTCCATCACGTACACATTTTTCACAAAACATCATAACACAATACATAAAAGAAAGACCACACCACACAATTTTGAGACTAAAAGACAGATTTCACAAAAAAATCAGGATGAATGAGGATGCATATTCATTAGATATCAATGTTCTTCCCTTTTCTTCAGTTTGTTTGTATTTTTGTTAATAAACATTAAAAAAAAAATGTTTATTGTGGTAAATGAAATAATAATTTGATCTAAATAGGTTTTTTTCTTCTTCCTGATTTGTAAAAAATCCTTATGTGATAGAAAAAAAATGAGTATTATTTTTGAGATCTGTGGAGCTGAATTATGGAAAATCTGTTATTAAAACCAAATCAACTTTTATGAATTTTAAATTCACAGTCCTGTGTTATTATAGCTGTCAATTAATTCAAGATTTTTAATTATTGTTAGAAAAAGTTTGATTATTACTATTTTCAGTTATTCCAACTACCCAAGTCAATTACTTCTATGTACTCAGTTAATAAACCTGACAAATAACTGATTATCAAATTCCACTAATCAGCCAGCTCTAAAATGTAATCATTCTAAGAAGTAGTCTGTTTTTGTAAGGAGTATAAGAATTCTCAGAATTATACTTTATTTGCACTTCAGAATTTTGGAATCCAGATATTATGCATTAGAATATTTTAAATAACTCGGTTATGGTTAAAGAAAAAATCTTTGTTGAGCTTTTACTTATCTGGATAACTCCATTTTAATGATTACCTTTAAAAAAAAAAAGAATACCACAAATTTCACAATTTTAGGAGATGAAATGAAAGGGAAGTAAAGAAATAAAGATTGTTGAATGCAGACATTATTGCACATGAAAAGCATTACAATCATTGTTGTAACTTTGCAGGTTGAACAAACTATTGTTATATTGTAAGAAGGGAGTATAAAATTCCAGATTGTGAGAATGGCAAAGCATGTGCTTATCAGAAAGGAAATTAAAATGTGGCAGAATACTACATGTGCTTATTTTCTCATGCACAGTATGATTTTAGCCAACTTTTTTTTGACAATTCATTTAGTAGTTTAATGATATTGACCGTGTACTGCTTTATTTTTAAGGTTGTATGATGTTCTTATTTCAGGTTTTGGTGCAGGAATGACAGGTAACTTTACGGGACAAGGAGATGGATCTGCTGCTGCTGGTGGAGGTGTTACCAGAACTGCAGGAGTTGCCCAAGGCTATCATCCTTACAGACGTTAAGCTTACAGTGTTATTATCTAAAACAGAAAAGGTCCATTTTTCATCATCATCATTCCAGTTGCTAGTAGTCCTTTTTATTTATGTGTCAACTTTGTATAGTTTACACAAATCAGATTTATCAAATAAATGTGAGACTTGGTAAAATATTGAAAGAAAATTTAAATTCATTTTTAGTTAACAACCCAGCAATACAAATTTCATACATTGTGTCTGTAATTAAATTGCTTCCTCACAAAATAGATTTCTTATGGTATTTTATTATATCAGTACAGCATCAAAGTATGTTCTTTGTTTCAAATCACAAACTGTACTCTCTTTTCTTTTTTTTTCTATGAGTTAATCAACAATATATTAGAATACATGCATGGCAAAAACAAAGATGTTCAAACTTCTTTCAATTGTTACATGGTTACTACAGTTAGGAAAACCGTGAAAACTTGGGAAATTTTATATTTGACATTCCTGACCCAGGAAATATTGAGGAATTTCACTTTATGGACAAAAACCAGGAAAAGTCTGTGAACTTTGTATAGTTCTGTGGTTCTTCTAAGACACAGAGAGCAAAAAGAAATATTATTAGCACCAAAAAATCATATACTAGTTAATTCTGTTGCAATTTGCATATCAATATTCATATTTTATCTACAAAAACTTTGTCTTCATTGGTCTTTGTATTTCTGTATTGTTAATTGTCATAAAGTTTGAAAGCAGCTGTAATTTGTTATGTAAACAGTAGCTAGGTTCCCACTTAAATGGAGTGTTAGGGTTCTGGACAAGGCTTCATCTCATTTAGAGATAACCTGTTTCATTTAACTAACTTATTTTTTATTTTCATCTTACAGAGTTAATGCATTTATAAAACAGCCCCCTGTTAGTAGTTATAAAAGGAACATTTAATACCGAGGATATGTTATGCCATTGATATACTGGTGCAGGAAAGATGTCAGTATGAAAGCCAATAGTTTGATTATTTCAGTAAAGCATAGATCTATACAGTTTTGTTTTAATTTGTTATAAAACAAAATATACATCATTGTGCATTGCCTATAGCACAAATATCAAGATGCGTAGCATAGCTTGGGCATAGGTTCGATGCAGGTAGAGTATGACCAGTGACAGATAAGGAGAACCTGTATAAAGTAAAATATGGATGGCCATGTATCATGTAAGTAATTTTGAGATAATAGATTTTGTAAAAAATTTAATTAAAAGAAATGTTCAAATACAGAAAGTTTTATTGGCAGTAACTAATAAAAAATATGGCACCTGTAAAGATGTTCAAAAATACTGTGCTATTTGCTGTCCATGAATCATCGTAAAACAGTTGATCTTACAACAGCGAATAATTAAATACATTTTGAGTGTCTAATAATGTGTAATTTAATGCATTGGATATCCAAGTAATATATTTCTAAAATTTGCTGTTTGTTGAATAACAAGATGTTAGGGACAGGAAAGAATAAATACCTAAGATAAAAATGAACATTTGCAACTTAAAAGAATTAGAGTAATAATTTGGTTATTGTATTGCAATTATGAACTTTCAGACAATGGTAATCTCATAATATCCAAACAATTATTATGAAGATTGTGTAGTGCTAGTGAGGTCAAGTATAGGCAGTGTGTATCGAGTCTGGATCCAAGAACCGTATTAGAATAAAAATACGAATAATTTAATAAAAGTTTTACTTCATAGCAGTTTTTAATTAATGTAATAAGCAACATTATGTAACGACAAAATGAAAAACTTAACATTTGTATCAGTTGAGTGGTGTAATACTGTAATGGAATATCATTGTTTGAATATAGTGACATTCGTGTCTGTGAGTTACCATAGTCTCTATGAGTATGATTGTACATCGTGATGGCATAGGATTATAATGCAACTATAAACATTGTGGATGTTTTATCAGCAGTGTCGTATATGTATAATTAGGATTTACAACTTTGCCAGATTATATTCACAAATATCTCATGAACAAACAACACTTACATAAACCGTGAAATATTTTCGTTAACGTGATTGAACAATAAATATATTGTCTCAATAATTGAGAGATTTTAATACTTTTGATATAGATGAATTCGATACCCAGTTTCAAAGCACGTGCAAACAAAAATAATTTCATTAATGTGTGCATTTGTTTTGTTTATATCAGAAATGCTTTTACTGCAGTGTATGATTAGCACCTTAAAGTTTCTACAATTTTGTCTGTATGCACATCAGAAAGTATTGCTTTAATAAAAATTTGACATATGAGAAGCATACTTGCTAAAGAATATTACATTTTATAACTAAACATTTTCCATGTATTAAAAGTAAAAACTATATAACCTACAGTTTTGTTTATGCTGTAATAAAGGTTTGTGATTTAAATTCAAACAGAAAAGTGTGATGGGTTTGCACTATTTTAAACACAAAAAAGATATACTGCCCTTGTTGTGTATGTTCTGATAAAGTATCAATAAATCGAGAAATATATGACCGATCAAATCGAAAATTTGCAACATGACATATAAGCAAACTGTAATTCTTAACATATGGCCTGTCTTATCTTCATTAAAACATATATGAATGTTTTGCGAGCAAACTTTATTATAGCTAATAGGTCAATGATACATTACAGGCATGGATCAAAAGGCCTGAGAAACATTGGGGAATTTCATTCTGCCTAAGGTGTCCGAACCACCTAGTTAGCTATAATAATTTTCAATGAACATTACAGTTTTCTCCTCTACTCAAATTAGGATTTTTATTGAAATCCTAGAAGCAGCAAGGCTTAAATTTCCTAATGTTTCCAGGCTATAGTCATTTAAACTAATAATTTTTCATGCACACATCAAAAATTTTAGTGAACTGTTTCTGTGGTCACAAGTTAAAGAAAATTAATTCATTTATAGGCATGGCCATTTGGTTAGGTTGCTCGACTCACAATCTGTGTGTCGCAGGTTCAAATCCCAGTTCCACCAAACATGTTCACCTTTTCAGCCTTGGGAGTGTTATAATGTGATGATCAATACCACTGTTCAGTGGTAAAAGTAAGTTGGCGGTAGGTGGTGATGACTAGCTGCCTTTATTTTAGTCTTTCATTGCTAAATTAGGGACAGTTAGCTTTGCACAAAAATTCAAAAACAAGAAACAAAATTAATTTATAAGCGTACTTAATCAAAAACTTTAATATGAGAATGATCTGCACATTTTACCCATTAAAATGGGTCAAATTAGGAGTTTAAGTTCACTGAACTGATGAAACATAAGAGCATTATAGTATAACAGTATTTCACCTACATTTTCTATATAATTTATTTACAAATCTTATCCGTTAAGAAAGATTGAAGCATTCTGCTTATGATATTTTGTATATCAATAAATTTGCACACCAAAAATGTGTTCTGACCAAATCACAGAATTGAGGTAAAAAATAATGAAACATTATTTGTTATTTACTTTAAAAATTAAGATTAATATTGTTTTAAAAAATAGGGGTAGAATCTTTGTATCTTAATATAGATCGGCATTTCAAAGCCAGTAAAGAATAGTGAAATTTTAAGTTTCTGGTATTTCCTAAGCCTTCTATGACCCACCAGTAAAAAAAGACAATACTGACTGTTTAATAATACTCTTATGACTTTTATTTAAGGTACGAGAAACTTGTAATAAAACTGACTTTCTAAATTATGTATTATGAAACAAGTCATAAATAAAGAATAGTTTCTGACTGTAGTAACATTGCAGTCTAAGAAAAGTATATTTCACCCATTCATAAATAGAAAATAACGTTTTTAGACAGGCATACTCAAATAAATTTAAAAGAAATTGTGTGGATGATCTGCATTGACCTGGCGTTTTAAAATTTGTCATGGGTACTGAAGGGATTTACACATCTTGATAATAACGTTAGAAAAAAACGACCTTCACACTCCAGATAATTATAAGAGAACTTTAATTGACATTTCTCCTTTGATTAAAATAAAATTTATCATAATTATCTGGAGTGTAACGGTCATTTTTTTTCTAACTATATTATTGAAATTGGGTTGGACATTGAGTCACCTATGACAAAGATTTTATTGGATAGGTATGAGGCAAGATGTGGAAGAATGGCGCAGGACCTGCAGTACATGTTGTGCTAAAAGGGGACCCAAGCATAAGGGACATGCTCCAATGAAGTTATATCAAGTTGGCACACCAATGGAAAGAGTAGCCGTTGACATTGCTGGTCCTTTGCCGCAAACTCGTGCTGGAAACAAGTACATTAGTATGGTGATGGATTATTTCACCAAGTGGCCTGAGGCATATGCAATACCAAATCAGGAAGCTACAAGTGTAGCTTTGGCTATTATTGATTTCTTCTTCAAATTTAGTATGCCATACGAATGGCATTCAGATCAAGGCCGTAACTTTGAATCGGCTAGTTTCTATGAATGCTGCAAGTTATTTGGCATACGAAAGACCAGGACAACGCCACTTCACCCACAGTCCGATGGGATGGTAGAAAAGTACACTTGGACAGAAATTGGCAAAGTTTTGTAATAGCCGCCAAGATGACTGGAATATCTTACTTTCTCCCGTGTTGATGGCCTATAAAACAGCAGAGCATGAAGCCACTTGATACACTCCAGCAAAGTTGATGTTTGGTCGGGAACTTCGATTGCCAGTGGATCTGTTAACAGGACGCCCACCTTACGAATAGCTGCCTGAAAGGATGGATAATATTCACCATCAGGTGCATTCAAACTTAAAAACTTCTGCTGATTCGATGAAGCTATGTTATGATAAGAAGTCTACTGAAGTCAGCTTTATACCAGGAGACAAGGTTTGGTTGTATAATCTCAGGAAGACCAAAGGGAAGTCTCCTAAGTTGTCTTCTCCATTGGAATGCCCATATGACATAGTGGATCGTCTCTCAGGAGTGACTTTCCGAATAAAATGTGGTCGGCGAGGTACGCCAAAGGTGGGGCATACCAACAGGCTTTGGCATTATCACGGTCCAGGACATTTCAGTTGGGACAAAGTGAACAATGGAACAAAAGATGCTGCTGAAGACATGTCACATGGAAAGGCCACTGTCGAAGAAGAAACTACTCGGTTTTGAGAAGGGAAACAGTGAAGCCCTTCATAAAGTTACTTCCATTGATGTGATGGAGCAGATGAACTTTACGTGAAGCAGAAGCCAACGAGACAGAGACCAGTACCGAAGAAGATACGTCCCGTAAAATTAAGAGACTTTGTTGAATTTTAATTTTATGTTTGTAAATTCTGTACATTTAATTAAGTTATTGATAATTTTGTATTGGTTTAATGTAAGTGGCTATTGTTCGGACAAACAATACTAAGAAAGGGGCAGTGTTACGACATGTGATTCTAGAAGGATCGTGTCTGTTCGTGGCAACTCAAGTTTTTTTCTATGCGCCTTCTAATCGTGTATATATGCACGCCAGACAATGGATCGGAACGAGAATATTTGCAGATTGAAGATATAGATATCAAGTCAAGTCGTAAGTGAGGTGCGTGAGTCGTTGAGATTTATAGCATGTGTTTAAGTTAAAGTGACTGGAAATTCTGTGTATTGCAAAGTTGTATCGAGAAAGAATAAACTGGTTTTATT